TTTTACGAACGTGGATCGGCGTATGGTCCACTACTGTTGTCGCAAATTTCTTACAGCCTGTATCATACTGTCGATCGGAGATCATTGATGGACTGCTTGATGTACGGGTATGGAATGAGTAATTCGGAATTAACCAACATTTGACTTACCTATCAGTTCCTGCTCGGCGCGATATGCGCTGTCTGATAGAGCTTTTCGAGTAATTAGCGGCGGGAAGTCCGAGCCAAAGTATACCGTCCAGAGTAACCGAAAAGACCAGGTAGATCAATAACATACGCGGATAGCGGCGGTCGGGTACTTGGCGAGATTGCATGGTCTGGCAAAGTTTGGGCAGTTTGAATGAGACCGGGGTCAGATTTCAATGGTAATGTTCATTGAGGATGTGAATGGGCACTATCTACTGACAGAAAGAGTACGCCGTCCCGACAATATTTCAAAACCTAACTGCAGAATTATAGATGACGAAGTGTGTTCACCGTCGAGAAACCTACCGGTTAAGTGATGGTTAACGGCCGATCACCGACCCTCAAGTAACCATAGTGTGGAAATTACAGGATAACCATTATTGCGGGCCGGTTGTCTTGACATGGACCAATGACCGGGCATCCGATCCGCCAACCTCGCAATCCTGCGGCGCAAATTAAGCGGCAGGGGACTAAAATCGAAATGTTCTGGCTACTGGCGCGTACGCCGGAGACCTATAAGAGCCCACGTTGTCCACCCGAACGGTCAATGCTGGACAACGAGACACTCTATCTTGCAAAGAAATCCCTTTTGGAGTGCTGACGCTCGATATGCCTTCCCGTAGAACGACATCCGAAGCACCCGCCGATACTGGTCATGGCAGTTCCGAGTCAGATGCTGCTCCCAAACGGACTCGACGCCCTCCCAGCACCGGTCATGGTGGCTCTATGTCAGACACTCAAGGCGCAAACCTTCACACATCATTGGTATGTCCTGTCATTACTGGTCTCGTGAAAGCAAATACTCAACCGAATGTGGAATGTAGAACTCCTCGCCAATAGCGAAGGCCCGGAAGCAACAACACTGGAAGCTCGTCCACAGACAATGCTTGCAGGGTTTTAAGGAGGCTGATAGAGAGCGGGATGAGCTCACATGATCCATACAGCGACTAGAGGCCGACAACGCCCAAGCCACGGCAAAGATTCGCCAGCTGAGTGACACCAATGACCAGAATCTGGCCAAGATTCAAGCACTTGAGTTCCAAAAATCCAATCTGAAACAGCAACTCGACGCTGCACAGGTTGGTAGCACAGCCGGTGATAATCTGTTGCCCATACTACTGGAGGTCAGCGGCAATTTTCAATATGCGCAGAGCCAGCTCGAGAAGAAGATAGAGGCAGAGAGAAACGCAGAGAAAAACAAGCTTACATTTGCTGGCTTCCCTGCTTCTGATGTGTTACAACCATCCTGGCCGGTCTACAACAGCCAGATGGGTTCGCTTGGGACCAATTCGCTACAAAGCTACTCACTACCGAGTACCTTTCCGTTGACCAATCAACAAGCGCCAACCCAAGCAAATCAGCAACATCTCCCAGCAGCTAGCCAATATATACCGCAATTTTGAAGAGAATAGGAGTTGAGTCGGTTTGCAGAGGAAGTGTGTGCTATCATGGAGGAATTACGGTGTTGTTCATCTAGCCAGACGGAACATGAATCAGCAGTGCGTGACCCAAGCAGTATATGTAACGCCACCTAGACAATTATCATTCAGTACTCGATACACCAGCCAGGAGGTTGCACGGCCATACCCTCTTCCCTTGAGTCACGAAGATCAAGCTTGTACACTTCTCCATTTAATCCCATTCCGCAAACGCCCCTTCGGCGGAAGTCATGGTGGCTTCCGATTTAGGAATGTATTAGCGCGGATGATCGGGTTCTTGTCTCGTGATTGAGGCTGTAGAGGTGCCTGTCATTGGCCAATATTGCGGGACGCTAGTCCGACCGTAGGCTGGAAATAAAATCCCACTCCGTAATACACTCGTCTATAATACTTCCTTTTGGACTAGTGCCTCATTTGAAGTATCAAGAAGTTCGCAAAACGGCGACTTTGCGATACCAGGTAGTGCATCCGTAATACCGGCGCTTAGTCCGCGTGTCACGATCTTACTGGACTACCGCTATCTTGCTAACTCGGAATTTGTTAAGCAGTCTCAGACAACTTGGTCCAAAATGACTTCCTCCTGCCTCAAACTCTGCCATTGCGCTTGGGCAGATTTATGAGCCGACCAGAGCCGATAATCCGAGATCAGCGTCAGATCCCGATAGCGAGATCTTCGTGTCCACCCGACAGATCCGCAAATTGTCCTTTTGAAGCCAATAGCGACACATACGCGCAACAATGCGGGATGTTGGGCAGCTTGCGTGGAGTCATCTCGGTTGAGGAATTCTACTACGTGAAGCGATAGCTGCCCGTTATACGACAATGCTATGAACTTGGCTATTTGAAATTACTCAGTCGATTGAAGGATATGCGATTTTCCGGATGCACTCCGTCTCAGCATGTCCCTGCCCGACGTAGAATAATTGACGCAGTCTTGGTCCCTAAATTCAGGGGCAAGGGTGCCCTCCGGAAACCCTGCGGATGGTGGAGCAAATTGAGCTTTCCCCGGGCAAATCGCTACGCTTCTTGCAGTCTAGACGTATCTTTGCATATAAGTCGGGACATCAGCATGCGACTTTGAACAGCGCTGTTTTCATCAAGCCAAGTAGCCTTCAGTTCCCTGGGTGCTGTTCGTGGATTATCCTCCACATAAGAGGTGATATTAGAATGACACTAGGTGATTAAAGGACGCCTGCAAGATTGGGTTGACGCATATTGGTACGTCGTGCATGTCTCCGTCAATAATTCCTGGTTTAATTCTGATTCTATTTATTATCTTTTTTCTTTTTTTAAACCGCTTCTTTCTAACCACATACGGACTAGTGCCTCATTGCACCAAAAAATAAAGCGATCAGAACCGGGCCGCAGCCCGGCCCCTGTCGGCACGGAACGTGAGCTTCTAATGTCCCATGGCATGCATAGCGCACAGTCCATGCGACATGATCTCCTGGATCTACCACTGATACACTGACTTCATCCATCACGCCTTCCAGCCTTTAAGGGCTGTGAACAAGAGAAACGGGGGTTATACTGTTGATTGCGCTAATGGATTTGGAATTCAACCCCTGCCTAGCGCAGAAATCTCGGCACGCATGGCTCTGGCTAATTTTGATGCTAACGCGGATAGGGGTACCTGCAGGATTTTCTTTGCACAGGATAGAGATCCCCTGGCGAAAGCTGATCGGGTAATAGTAAACGGTTGGGGCGAATCAATGGCCGAGACTATTTTGTCATCGCATGCTTTTCTCATGAGAAGAGCTAGGCCCTTTTGGACTTGGGTAAATATTGTCATGCGGTCCGCCTTCGAGTTGATTTAATTATAAAGACTCCACAACGGCCAAATGCTCATCGCAGCGCAAGCGAATTGGAGTTGACGGAAGCGCAGATCAATCTTATGAAAACACGAGACGAAATTTGGCGGAGGATTGCGGTATAAAAAGGGGAGTAAGTGGTATTAGTTTCCGACTAAAAAAGTCCAGTGACAGACGCGCTCTGATTCGCCGTAGACCACCGCGATATTGTGGCTCAGGGACATGATTGGCTTGATTGATGAAAATGATAAAACTACCCCTCGTGCGTGGATCTGTAGGGAACGGTGGATACGCTAAGAAAAGCGGGTCAGTTTGATTCAATCCGGGCACGACAGAGCTTTTC